TATTTTATGAAGGCTTCTTGGATACCCACGAGTTGTGATTTGTCTCTTATTTGAACTTATTATAGCTTTTTCTCAAGTTCTTTGTTGCTTACCAAATATTTGTTTGGTGTTATTGTACTAGATATTAGTCTAGTAATACTAGATATTACGTCTCACAAATATTGCACAGTTATTAGAAATAGATTCATATCTTCATCTTTCTATTTTTAAATATGATAAGGCCTTGGTAAATTTTATTATGTAATTAATTTTTGTTATTTTCATTGCCCTCTGCTTTTTAGATTCATATAGCTCATAACATTATAATGGACTTATTCTCACAGAAAGTCAAGGTATTATTGTTATATCATTTTATTGTGCTAATATTTCACATGGAATATCTAAAACCTAAGATTTCTTTCTAACATTGTTTATTGCTTTTAGCAGATGGCATTATCTTTGAATGTACGTTATTAAGTTTTTGCGTCAAAAGAGGGAAGGAAAAACTGGGCATGGTGGCACATGCCTGTAATCCTAATGGCTCAGGAAGCTGAGACAGAAGGGTTGCAAGTTCAAAGCCAGCCTCAGCAATGGCGAGGTGCAAAGCAACTCAGTGAGATCATGTCTCTAAATAAAATACAAAATAGGGCTGGGGATGTGACTCAGTTGTCAAGTGCCCCTGAGTTCAATCCCCAGTACCAAAAAAAAAAAAAAAAAATTAAGAATATCACTTACAAAAATAAGGTACCACACCTTATCTATAGCTTAATATTCAGAATTCAGATGAATTTTCTCTTCTCAATAAAAATAAATTTACTGTTTGTTTTAAAACTTTCCAAGCATAGTGGAGTCACAGAGTAGACAGTTGTTCGTTTCCTCCAAAATTTCATAGATTTTTTTCTTATCTGATTTTTTTCTTATCTGATTTTTTTCTTATCTGATATTTGAACAACCAGAGCTATGAAGTCTTTTCTCATAGAAAGAGATACCACTGCTGTCCATTGATTATTATTCCTTGTGGACCTACTTTGAGGTGAGGGGACATACCTAACAACTAATAAGCAGTCATTAAGAGACATCTATCAGGATATGAAGGGCTTGCATCCTTTACCTCTTTTGTAAACACGGAAGGAAAAGGCAGAACTCCTTGGAAACTGGAATTTATTTTGCTTGAGTTGTACTTGAACATTTTGTTTGGCATTTGTTCAGTGTTTAGGAATTACAATAACCCAATATTGTATTAACATCAATTACTTCTACTTGCATTCTTATAAACTAATTTAAATGAAAGTTGTGTGGGTGGTAATAGTGTATATTATTGCTGCATAACAAGTTGCCCCAAACTTAGAGACTTAAAACAGTACTTTTTAAATCTTGCCTCAGGAATCCAGGAATGGCCGAAGGATCAGTGTCTTTGATGAGATACCAGTCCAGATGCTGTGCCAACTTGTACAGAGACTATATGAAGATTTGACTAGATATGAATAATCTACTTCCAAAGTGGCTCACCCCCATGCCTAGCAAATTAGCACTGGTTGTTGGCAGGAGGCCTGAGTTCCTCACCACATGGATATCTCCCTAAGTCTGCTCAAACATCAATGTAATATTGGCTGGCTTATCTTAGGATAAGTGATCAAAGAGAACAAACTAGAAGTTGCCATGTCTTTTATGACATCATTTCCACAGGATCCTACTGGCTGTTCAAATTAACTCTGTTCATTATGGGAAGAGAAGATACAAGGGTATTAATACCATTAGGAGAAGATCTTTGGGAGCTGTCTACTAAAGCAGATTGTCTAATCTTTGAGACATTTATATAAGTGTCTAATCAATGTGTGACTACTCTTAAGTTTTACTAAAAATAATGTAATTATTGGAATACAAAAGTTTCTCATTTTTCTTTCTTTACCCCAATTACACATTGATTATTGGTCTCTACTATTTGCATGACACTTACCTGTTTCTCAGAAACATGATTAAAGGAGAATTATATCTAGGTAAAAGAATCATTTAGCTTAGTAGGGCTTTCACTGAGGATAACCCCAGTACCTCCATTCTATAAAACCCTCTGAATTTATCAAGCCTTCAGTGAACATTTATTGAAAAACTCTTTAATATGCTAGGTATTGTGAATGCCGGTATCAGTACAAAAATATACAAAAATTATATTTTATGCTAAATATGATAATACTGGTACAGTTGTTGAAGCTCATAGATTCACATTTTAATTTATTTTAAATTTAATTCCTGTATCCCCTGTATTTAGTAGCATAGCTTTTCTATTTCGTTTTCTGATTATTCCCTTGTTACAGCTTACTTACCTCATTGGATTATTGTGAGGATTCAGCAAACAGTGCCAGTGAGTACCAAAGGTAGCTACTTGGTAATACCTGGAGTGATTCATTTGGATGAGGGAAGGTTTTCAGGGACTGGTAAGAAGACATTTGAGCTGTCTCTCGTAGAGTGAGTTGGAGTTTAGCCGTTACAAGATGATGATCCTGTTATGAGATTCCAGTGTGGAGTTTGAGGCTGGAAGCTGTCCGGTAGGGAGGCAGGGGCATGTCTTGTGGTGACTTCAGGAGAGCAACTGTAGATGAGCTTTCACAATGACGTGAAAAGATGTAAAAGGTTTCCTGTAGAATACCCAGCACATCATAAATTTTCTGAGTGTTTCCCCAATTAAATTTCTGGATTCTTATTGCCTTCTTAAGTACTATCCAAATTGCTAAATCTTATATGTGTATTTGTGGTTACAAAATTTTGTCACTAGAGTTACCAAAAAAGTTAACACCACTCCTTCAAAACAGTTGGAACCTTTTCATGGAGACTTTCAAAAGCAATTGAATGATAGGATTTGGTCTTTTTTGCTTGGTTTGTTTCTATGAAGTGACCTGACTGAAAGGTGAACTGTGAGTGTACTAGTTAGGATGCTTGTAGTAATCAAGGAGGAGACAATTAGTGCCTCAAAGAACTGGTGGGGGGACAGGTACATAAGAGCCTAGTTCCACTCTTTCCCATCAGATTTGGCATTTCTCATGGGCATCCTACAGCACATTCCTGGGACTCTAGCAGAACTAGTATACCCCATCCCATCCCAGAGAGCCTTGACTCATTTGGAGTTTTGCATTGTAAATCTAAAAAGGAATGCTGTTAATCTCAGGATATGTGTAAATTGGTATGTTTGGGATTATATATGAGGGAGTAAGCACCATATCTTCTTTCCCTTAAGTGTCTGGCTTTAATGGTAATTTTATTTTGTGAACAAAATAAGCTAATGATTGTCAGTTTTAGAAACTCCCTTCTCAGTTGCTCATTCCCAACTCCCAGACCTTTTCTTAAAAACAAAACTAAAAAGAGATGAGGCTTTAGAGGGGGAAAAAAAAAAAGTGGGAAGAGATTTTGATTTAGGTAAATAACAATACTTTACCAGTGAACTAGATTCCAATAATATCCAGGCCCAAGAATGGGAGTTAGGGTGGTTGTTGATCTACTTGGCCTCTTCTTGAATGCTTCCAAAGTGGCCATACAGTCACAGCAGGCTTAAACCCTCCCTTGTTTTTTGGATGCCACTCTCCTGGACCCGCCCTCTTATCAAGCACTTGGTCCTGGGAAGTGTGAATGGCCTGTTTCCTTTGGAGGGAATGAGGTTATATGAAGGCTCTCTGCCAGCATCTGGCACATTAGAATGAAAAGGAATCCTGTGGTTTCTGTAATATCTAATATGCTTAAAGCCTGTTTATTATCATTAGGGGAAAAATCCTGACTACTACTCTCTTTTTCTTTTAAAAGAAACGTGGGAGCAGGCACTAATAGACCCTTATTATATCACAACTGTAACACTATATACAAAATAATCAGGAAGCAAATGGCATTTTTGTAGCAACTATTAAGTTATATGAAGTGTTAGTCTAGTAAGGGATTTGGAGACAGTGTCTCCATCTGGGAAAGTAGCAGCTGTCCAGGGAGAACCTGGCTATGGAAAGGCAAACTGCTTGCTGACTGACTTCCCCCTTGCTCAGTGATGTTTGAAATTTATGTATTTACTTCAATTTTGCATCAGATTTAATTAGTCCATCAGTTCTTTTTCCTTAAGCTATTTCTAATTTAATATTTCATATCATTTTATGACTAAGAATTTAAGAATTGAAATACTTTTAGGTAGTATATTCTATTCATAATAAAAATTGTTCAGTGTCTTGTATTTTTAAAAATGGTTGATGGAAGCTGGTTCTGTTTCTAAAGTAAACTTTCCTATAAATAAATGTAGAAACATCTGTGGAGGGCATCGTCTGAACGTGGCAGACATATGAATTGCGTCAATTCCCGTCTTGTGGCCAAGATTTGTTCCCTAGGCTTTCTTTATAACTAACGTCGTGGCAGAGCTTTACATTCTCACAGCATTAGGCAACAAAGTGGTCAAGAGAAGTGCAAGTTGCCCTCTTTTTTTTTTTTTTCACATTTTTTAAAATTTGTTTTAATTAGTTGCCCTCTTCTTAAGTTGGGTAGTGGTAGTGATGTGTACTTATCATGGAAAAGTGTGGCATGTTTCATTTGTGTTTGTTAGGACTGAAAACCTGAGATGTCTACTCAAGCTTGATTTTTAGCCCTGGCTTTTGGCAGTTTTCCAAATGTCTAACTGCTTACTACTTTCAAGAAATTGTTGTGATATTGCAGGGAGCTTTGGTCAGGAGAAAAAGAAGGCCAAAAACCTTCCTAGAACAGTACAGTCCATCCAGTGACCTTTTTAAAGAAACAACTGAAATTCCTTTTTCAAAGGGGCAAAAATGCTAATTGAAACCAAACAGAAAATAAACCCATTCCACAAGTGGTGCCATTCAAATAACCAGGGGAAGGGGATGTGGAGGTGGGGAGGGTGGAAGGAAAATTATCCCTGGGAATGTTATTTGAAGCTCCAAGCTTGTATATTTTGCTCTTTGATAGTTGTGAGTTAAAATGGGGTGATTTTGCATTTTTAAGATTAAAAATTAGCCAGGACTTAAGACCACTGTGTACCTTTTCAGGTGCCTGTGTAGATCCTCCCAGAATATCTGCCTGGTGCTGTGCTGTGCCCTTCCTCAAGACTACCTCATATTGGCTCTGGCTCAGAGACTCCTACATGCTGAGGTGAGTCAGAAAACTTGTACTCTTTATACACATCCTGGAAGCATAGTATTTTTTCAGTGACATTTATAGGTGTATTCATGGGGGAACTCAGGAATCATCATTTGTAAGATGTTTTAATTTGAAAAATACAAAGTATAGTTAGTAATGGTCTTGCCACCATTATAGAATTTTTTGTTCTAAATTTGTGATGACACTAAAAGCATCTTGAACCCCACACCATGCTGTAGGGTTCAAGTTTGGAGTTTGAAACAGAAGTTTTTGAGGTGGTATACTGCTGGGTTTCTGTTCTCTCGACTAAAAGGCTCAGGGGTCACTCCAGTAAAACTGGGCTGACTGGGCTGCGCAAAATAATCACACAAGAGACACAAATACCTTTTTGTTTGGGGTCGCTGTGAAGGCTCCTCTGACCTTAAGGGTCCGCAGGAAGAGAGAGAGTGTCGGGCGCTGACCCCTTTTATTGAGGAGAAGTTATTTAAATGAGGCAAGGGGTCAGGTTTCAGGGGGCTGAGTCTATCTTCATGATATCCACTGTCAGCAGGTTGACTGACACCTGGGTAGGCCACACCCAAGGGCACAGTAAGAGAAGGGGACATATACAAGGCACTTCCATGGAAGATTCTATCCTAAACAGGGCAAGGGGTTATATTACAAAGGAACAGGTGAGCATAGCTTCACCCATGGGGCTGTAGCAAGACACACCCATGCATGAGACACCGACCCTCGGATCCAAGAAGGGTGGGGAAAGCTCTGCCACATTTCTGCGACTGAGCGCCTCAGCACCCAGCCGGGGAGTGTGACTCAGTCATGTGTAAAGTTGGTCTCCCACAGTATACCACTGCTTTTGGGCTTTCTGAACACTTTTATACTGATGTTTTGAATTGGTGGTCTCTTCAAAAGCAGAGAAGTGTTATCAGCAGGGAAAAGTTAGAAATCCTTAATGGGTAACTGGTTTTTCTTATGATTCTCCATGATAATTCTGAAATATCCTGTTCTCTTCACTAATGGCTACAATTGGCTTCATTAAGTAAAAGGGAGCACAAAAATCTCTTTAGGGGAGGATGTGCAACCAAAATGTGTTTCACTTGCTTTTAGTATGCTTGCTGTGTGTGATCTCTTTTCTCTTGAACATTGTAGTGACTTATTGATCCCAGAAGGGAAAAATAATTTGACCTTGTTTATACTAAGTGAATCATTTATGAATAAACTGTTCACATATTATAGGTGAATAAACTCTTTAAGGGTACCAACCAGTGTGCTATCTCATAAATTCCTTAGCCCCTCATTTGTAAAAGCTGTGCACTTACATTTGATGGCTCTCAAAGGCCTCACGTAAATTAATCTCCTCATGAAATAAAAAAATAATAACTTTAAGTCTTCAAGTAATTGTGAGATTATGCAGAGGGACTGAACTCCTAAAACTGTAGGTCCATATCCTTACTGGTTCAGTTCTTGTATATATCCTGCTGTAGTGCTTGTGTCATTAGCAATAACCATAACTACAAGACCACAAGTGTATACTAGAAGACAGGGATTCTAATAAGACAATTTTGTCATATCTGTGTGAGAGCTGAAAAGTCCCAGTGAAGCCCTATTCATAATTTGCTGCTATTTGAAATATGTTTTCAAAAAGAAAATCATAGAAGTAAAAAGGACTATGTATGGGCTGGGGTTGTGGCTCAGCAGTAGAGCACTCGCCTAACACATGCAAGGCCCTGGGTTCGATCGTCAGCACCACATTCAAATAAATAAAATAAAGGTATTTGTCCAACTACAGCTAAAATATATATATATATTTTTTTTTTTTTTTTTTAAAGGACTATGTAGCTTCACTAACAAGTTCTCTGTGTGATTGGAGAGTCACTTGAATTTTAGATTTAGCTTCCAATACTGATAAAGCTATGCTGTGAGCTTTCTCTTTTATACTAATTATTTTTTATTTAGGAGGATTTGTGAGTAAGTTACCTTTAAGAGGAACTATGATTCACTCATAGTGATTAGAATTGTGTGGATTTGGGTTTGAACATTTCAGTTATTTGGTTCCTCTGGAGCACTTGCAGTTATTGCATGGGTTGCTTGGAGTTTGCTGCTGAAGAATTTGCATGATTTGCTGTTTCTTCTTAATTGCTCAATATTTCAAGATTATCAGCCTTTGTTGGGTTGAGGATGTCGTACAGTAGTAGAGCACTTGCCTAGCATGTGTGAGGTGCTGGGTTCAATCCTCAGCACCACATAAAAATAAATAAAGGTTCATCAACAACTAAAATAAAAATAAAAAGATTATCAGCCTTTGAAATTTTTACTTACAGTGCAAGGAGACTCTTCTTTTCTTTTCTTTTTTCTTTTTTAAAGGAAGTTTTGTTTGTTTGTTTGTTTTAAATAACCAAAAGGTCTGCCAGGGCTGGGGTGCAGATACATGAGAAACAGAGAGCTCTTTAACCTATGAGGGCTAGCTACTGAAGAAGCTGTTGTTCCTTGCCCACAGGAGAGGGTGACTTCCCTTAGCTTTTCTGATATAGTATCTAATTTTGATAATGTTAACTTTGATGGGTAACAAAAACAACTTTGAGGTTTCATTGTTGCTACTGTAAAACTATTTTACTTTTTTTTTTGTTTGTTTCACGGGCTAATGTAAATTTTTAATGTCTTACAATCAGAATATTTCAACTAAATCATATTTTTTCCATCAAGACTTCAGTTCATTTTTCTTTTAGAAAATGATGATGAGAATAATACATATTTTATTTAAACAAGGCACCTTTGTTAGATTCATAAATCTGAAACTAGAACAGACTTGAAAGCCTGTACTTTGTGTAAAAAGATAGATTCAGTAAAACAGTAAATTTTACAGATTATTTTATTCTTTGTTTTTCTTTCAGTTTAAAATAGGCTATAGTCTTCCCTCAACCCCTTTTCTGGTACCTTCCTGTAAAAAGCATTAGTGAAGGAAAAATAATGATAAACAGGACTTAACTGCATAATATTTTTTTCAAAACTGCCTTGCAAATAATTTCACACAGTTTCTTTTTTTTTTTTTTTTTAAGAGAGAGAGAGAGAATTTTTTAATATTTATTTTTTAGTTTTTGGCGGACACAACATCTTTGTTTGTATGTGGTGCTGAGGCTCGAGCCCGGGCCGCATGCATGCCAGGCGAGTGCGCTACTGGTTGAGCCACATCCCAAGCCCCTCACACAGTTTCTGGAATGAAGCATACATAGTATTGTAGTATGCTTCCGGTTGGGAAGTAGTTTAAAAATACTCTCAATATTTTATATTTTAAACTGGGTGTTTATGTATGTTCACGTTAGATTTTCCATCCATATTATTTTAATGGAAACTATTTTTCTATTAAAAGTCAATTATGTTTATTTTAAGGGTTTAGATAAAGGTATTTATAAATAAAACTTGTAAAGAGGTGTTTATTGTTGTTACAATCATTTGTATGTACAGATTTTATAATGCTTAAAGTTATCTTCCAGAGAAGAAACTTGGTAAAGAAAGGGTGACATTTTTTTTCTGTAATTTAAGTTGTCATAGTAATTTGCCTCAATACACATACTTAGAATCCAGGCTTGAAGAATTTCAGTAACAATAAACATTCCAATTGCATTCATCATCCTTTTTTTTTTTTTAACCAAAAAAGGAGCTATCCATTGTGACTCAAATATTTTATTTCTGTTTAGAAGATGGAGAGCAGTTTGTCAGTTTTAGCACTTTGAAACTTTGTTGGTGGAATAGAACTGAAAAGTTCAGCTGTTTTTATTTTAGGTGGACAATTTCTGATGATGTGTCACAATGTTTTTCAGGTTTCGAGATAGGTTCAGTATAATGTTAATTTAATGAAATTTGAAAAGAATCACAATTGGATAAGAACTGAAGAAATTATCATATCTGTTAACATGCAAGTCTAATATTAAGAGTATTAGAATCTGGTTTTCATGGAGTGCTGATTTTAAGAATGTTATCACTTTCTTAATGCCAACTTGTTAATATTTTTATTTTATAGCACATCACACTATTAATGATGAACAAATGATTTTAGAAGTTTCATTTTTACTTATAAAATAGAAATTTGTCGTCAGACATTATTTTTAAATATTCTCAGAGTAGGATATTATTTCCAAAGAGAAAGCCTTTTTTTTTTTTTTTTTAAGGATTTTCTTTGTTCTTGTTTTCTGCAAGATTGCTAACCAAGATTATTCTCCTTAAGCAAGGAATATAAGGAAAAATAAAGAGATGAAAAAGAGAGAGAGAGTGTGTGTGTCTGAATGCATATGCACATATATGTGTGTCCAGTTGTTTTGGGAAGTTTGGAAAATAAACTGGAAGAGTTTATAGCCAGAATAATTTGTGGAAAAATGTATAAAAATTCATTTACTGCAAAAATGTGAGGAAAAATAAAATCACCCATTCTGTCACCCCATTATTTCCTTTTTTCAGATTGCCCTCTAATAATATTTTGTGGAAAGTATCTACAATTTTATAAACAAAATTCATACTCAATGCTAAAATACTAATGGTAGTAAAACATTAGAATTTTATCCATTTCTAGAATTAGTACTATGCTTGCTTTCATGATTTGCTAAGAAATAACGCTGAAATATCTAGCTAGTGTGTTAAGTAAAAAGATCTTCCTTCCCAGTAATTCTGTGGGGATAGCAGAACTATTGGGAAGGAAGATAAAACTATTTCCATTTAAAAATTTCCAAGACAACTATAAGTAACAGAGTTTAGTAAAGTTCTATTATAAATAATGTAAATATCATGATCTTTGGTATGTAGTAACAGTAACCAATTAGAAAGTGACAAAAAGGGAGCCCATTTATAGGAGCAACAAAGAATACACTAAGGATTAAATTTGATAAGAAATGCAAACTGCCTGTAGGAAGGAAACTATTGTACAATTCTGGGAAGATAGGAGACTTTCTGGGTAGAAAAACAACTCATTAATTGTTTTTAATGTATTTGTATTGATTTATAAGTTTAGTACAATTACAATCAAA